AAACTTTATGAGAATAGTCTTATCATGAGTTATTCTGGGTCTTGGTTGTTAGTTGAAATTATTCAAAATTTCCATCCTAATAGGCGGCAGCCAGTATTTGACCTATTCTGATGAATGTCACATTGTGTCAGTGGCAGAGTGGAAAATGCAAACCCAAGCAAAATGTTACCATGTTTCTCTGAATCTGAATTATTTATTCTTGCCACATAATTCACCAATTCATAAAGATAAATATACACCAGGTGACTAAAACTTGGGGAGGTTCTAGTTTCAAATGCTAATGAGTCCACTCACCCTATTGAAGTTAAATGAGGACCACGTTTTATATATATTTGAAGGAAGGACGAGCTAAGCAGCATTTTGATGAGGCTGAAATAGCTCTGAGGAAATATGCCAAATATGCCTAGCTAGTTCCAGTCTGTTTAGCTCATTAACAATCATTAGATGCATAAACATTTTCTCAACCTGTGAGCTTAAAACACCCTGATGGTTGGGGTAGCCATAGATGGAGAAGTATTTTGCTGTGTAGTTATAATTTAATATTAATATTTAATATTAATTTATTAAAGATGCTCTTTTGGTATCAACTCCACACTAATGACAACAGAAGGGCTTAGGAAATGTTGGATTATGATAGGACAAAAAGCCAACAATGTTTTTAAAATTCCCCAGAAATGCATCAATAACCTTAAAGGGGAATCAGAACTTCTGAATCATCTACAGTTCCCATAATCTAAAAATCGATATATGCTCATAGGCTAGCATTGTTCAAAACTTGATTGTGACTGGAAACCTTTAGAGAATAAACACATTATTTCATACTCCCATTATAAAGTGCTAGTTGCGGATCCATAAAATTCCAGACTGAATTATAACGGGGCACGATTAACAGTCAGTATTTTCGCACGGTGACATCACTATACATACATGCAGAAGGCGCTGGCTTCTCGAGTTAAAATATGGTCAACTTCCAGGTTAGCAGGTCACTGGTCTGAGACGCTGCATGAGGGCTGCTATATGACTAGATGACGAGAAAGTTGGTCTTTTTTTTAGCATTGACAGTGTTGCTGTTTCAACAGTGTCAGCGTGCTGAAAACTTCAATTGTTCTAAAAGCGGATATTAACATGTTAAGAGCATGGTTCCACTGTATTTTGCTGCTTTACTTTCTCATGTCATAAACCTTTAAAAATATGAAAAGCAATGGTTTAAAATTTTGAACATTTACTTAAAGTGTGGAATGGAAAAAAACATACTACACACTTTGGAATTAAATAGAGATTCTACATTTGAAAAATGAGAAAATGATGACGGCATGAATCTATTTTTTGCAGTGTAGTCTAAAACCAAAGTCAAGATGCTGCCTTTTTTATATGTATATGTATTTCAGCAAAATGACAAAAATGTTGATGAGGCACAGATATTTCCATGTACTTTGTCTTTGAACTCAATGCCATCAGAATTCTATAGTCAAACCACAATGAAAGGCTACATTTCATTCATTAAAGAACACCATTACAAGAAAGGTTGCTGGTTGCTGTAATCTCAACCAATGTCCTAAATAACCTAACGCATTGGAAACGGAGGCTCATAGAACTTGCTTATTTATTTATCATCCGACGTTTGATCGGGGTGGGGTGGAGTTGGCAGGGCACCAGTAACTGCATTGATCCACCCGTGATGCTAACATTCTTCCACTGTATGTTGTGTGCAAGTTAAACAATGAGTTTAACTTGAGTTAAACAATGAGTTTAACTTGAGTTAAACAATGAGTTTAACTTGGGTTTAAACAATGAGTTTAACAATGAGTTTAACTTGGGTTTCTTTACTTCAAAGAATTTATAGAACAAAGTAGATATGGGTATTTGTACAGTTGCTTTGTGCATTTGCAGTTTCGGAAACTATTTTGGACTATATGCACACGTCCTTTTTAAACTAATTGAACCATGATATTCTAAAGGAATTGGCACAGGCGCATGGTCCCCAAGGACCAAGCAATTCAGCCAATTGTAGGAGTTAAAGTACATTAACTGTTGATATTCTATAGGTTCCTTTATCAAATGAAAACTCATCTGATAAAAAAACCAACCTGCTCCTAAAAGCTTATGTTTTTTAACACTTATATCAGTCTAGAAAGGTATATCAAAGTGTATCGGTAGAAAAGAATGCCATTTTAAAGTTAGAATGGGATTAAGTCTTATCTTTAGTTTCGTAGCAAAACTAATATCTCATAGTGACAAAATCAAACCTAGTTGCAAGTAGGGTGAACCGATTCGCATAAATTACTGTGAAGGTCTGTTAAGAGATCCCAGTAATAGACAGCTTGGTGTCTAAAGAACAGCAATATTCTCCCTTCAATAACAACAAAATTACATTTGTATAGCACCTTTCACGTCGGGAGGACGTTCCGAGGAACTGGCCTGTCAGAGTTTTGGACATGAGCTGGGGGTCGGGATCAGGGAGGGTGGAGGGCAGAGGGGGAAGCAGGGTGATCGAAAGCACGGTCGAAAAGGAGGGTCTTGAGATGGGTCTTGAAGGAAGCGAAGGAGGGGGTTAGGTAGAGGGACTACGGTATGGAGTTCCAGAGGGTGGGTGCAGAAAGCAGAAGGCCCACCAATAGTAGGCACTTGGCTCAAATCCAGCCTAACTGTCCACTGCCATATCTGGCTTGACCCCATCAAGAACTGTCGCTCCGCTCTCGCCTCAGCCAAATCATCCTTCTATTCCAGGTTAATCCTGGAGGTGAAAGGTAATCCCAAGCTCCTGTTCTCCACCACTAACCGGCTCCTCCGCCCTCCCCGACACGCCTCGCAGATACTTTCCTTCGACTCTCACTGTGAGAAAATGCTGGACTTCCTTGAGTCCAAAATCGAGGGAATCCACACAGCTGCCACTGCCCTCCCAACTTCCAACCACTCCCTACCCTCACCCCATACAATTATCCATCCGACAATTACCCATCCCTCCTTCCACACCTTTAAGCCTGTCACCCCTCCTCTGTCTTCAACACGGTAACCTCCATGAAGTCCACCACCTGGTCCCTCGACCCCATCCCCACCCCTCTCCTTAAATCCCAGCTCCACCTCCTTGCCCCACTACTCGCCGACATCATTAACCTCTCTATGTCATCTGGCACTGTTCCTTCCCCCCTCAAAACAGCCATTATCACCCCCACCTTGAAAAAACCTTCCCTCGATCCATCACAGCTATTTAGCTACTGGCCCATCTCAAATCTCCCTTTCCTATCCAAGGTCCTTGAGAGAGCCATTGCCTCCCAGCTTCGCTCTTTCCTCTCCTCCCACTCCTTCCATGAACCCCTCCAATCGGGTTTCCGTGCTGCCCACAGCACAGAAACTGCTCTGGTCAAAGTCACAAACGACATCCTGACCATGTGTGACCAGGGCTCCCTCTGCCTCCTCGTCCTCCTCGACCTCTCCGTCGCCTTTGACACCGTGGACTACTCAATCCTCCTCCACCGCCTCTCCTCCCACCTTAACCTTCAAGATTCTGTCCTTGACTGGTTCAGGTCCTACCTTTCACACCGCCTCCACTTCGTCACAGCAAACCGTTTCTCCTCCAGCCCCCGCACTGTCTTGTGTGGTGTTCCTCAGGGCTCTGTCCTCGGGCCCCTCCTCTTCACCCTCTACATGCTCCCCCTTGGTGACATCATCCGCAGACATAAGATAAATTTCCACATGTATGCAGATGACACCCAACTCTATCTCTCTGCTTCCACCCTGAACTCCAGGACTACTGGGGTGCTGATCGACTGCCTGTCTGACATCAAGTCCTGGACGAGGGCCAACTTTCTCCAACTCAACGTCAGCAAGACCGAGGCCCTCCTGATTGGCTCGCTCCAATGCCTCCGCACCTCAGGCGCTGGCAGCATCAGCCTCTACGGCTGCACACTCAACCTCACTAAGCCAGTCAGGAACCTGGGTGTCTTGTTTGACTCTGAACTGTTCTTTCTCCACCACCTCCGCAACATTGCCAGACTCCGCCAGTGCCTCACCCCTCAGGCTGCCGAAACCTTCACCCACGCATTCGTCACCTCAAGGCTCGATTACGGGAACTCCCTCCTCATCGGCCTTCCCAACTCTTCCCTTCACAAGCTGCAGATCATCCAAAACTCTGCAGCTCATGTACTCTTACGACCAGGCTCCGTGTCCCCATCACTCCCACCCTCGCCCGACTCCACTGGCTCCCCATCCCCCTGAGGATCGAATTCAAGATCCTCGTCCTCACCTTTAAGGCCATCCATGGCCTTGCCCCCTCCTACCTCTCTGACCTGCTGACTCCTTACCAACCTGCCCGCTCCCTCCGCTCATCAGGTTCCGGTCTGCTCCATGTCTCCCGCCTGACCCGCCCTACCATCAGTGGCCGGGCTTTCAGCCTCTCTGCCCCCACACTCTGGAACTCCATCCCACAGTCCCTTCACATCGCTTCCTCCCTCGCATCCTTCAAGGCCGGTCTCAAGACCCTTCTCTTCGACCGTGCCTTTGGTCTCCCTCCCAACTCTCTGCCTTCCCTCACCCCTACAACACCCCTCCCCCATGCTCGGGCCCCGATAGCTGACTGTTCAGCGCTTTGGGATGTCCTCCCGATGTGAAAGGCGCTCTATAAATGTAATTTTGTTGTTGTAGGGCGAGCGAGGTGGGGGACATGAAGAAGGCCGGAGCCCATTGAGTGGAGGAAGCGAGCAGGATGGTAGGGTGTTAGGAGGTTGCAGAGATAAGTGGAAGCAAGACTGTGACTGCTTCTTACAGTGTGAGTGTTTACTATTGCCTGGATTTGAATTTTATCATCCAAATACTGCCAGAAAATCCAACAAACCCCACTAAACCACAATATTGGTGCATGAAACCACAAATTAGGGAAGATTGGGAAGTTTATTGTTCATGTAGAACAATAACTTCCAATTGGAATTCACAGCTGGCGAATGTAAGCAGATAAAGGAGGAAGAAAACTCAGTAAAAAATGGTACAGTACTCATTAACCATACCTTAGGTCAGTTATCCTTGGCAACAGCCTCTTCTTTCCACTGAAGTAAATTTCAAAGTCTTCTGTCTTGAGTCTGTGTGCGAAATCAATATACCCAGAAATCTCTTGCCCACGAGAGTTGTAGTCACGGATAAAAATGACGGACTAAAAATGAAACAACAGATATCTTGCATTAGAACATAAAATTTAAAATAAGCAAACCAATTCTCTAAATTCTCTTTGTTTTGTATTTCAGGGAGTTCCAGCCTTCTATGTTTTCAATATATTTACAATGTTTTGAACTTTTGTAAATTTGTGCTTAAGACTTTAGCAAATTTTATGTAATTGTTTTATTGTTTTTTTAACGATATATGTGATAAAGGGAAATTAGTTAATGCTATGATAACAGCTTTTAAAAAGAATTGAATGAATATCCAGGTAGGTTAAAGTTTCTAAGATTAGCAACATAGCTTCTTTAGTTGCTGGGACTATAATAATGTTCTGTTCAGACAGGCAAAGAATGTATTTTATGGGCAAATGCAACAGCCAATTTGCACACAGCACTGTCCCACTAACAGCGGATGTCTTATGCTTTTTGGCACCCCCCTACCATTCACTACCCCACAAATCGCTGCCCCTCATTTTCCATGACAATCTCGAGCTCTATTGGGGAACCAGTCCACAAAAGACACTGTGCATAACGAACACTGCCAGGCTTTAATAATAATAATAAAAATAATAATATTATTTATTATAGGCTTTAAATAAACTTTATTGGCTTTATATTATTGGCTTTAAAATATTATAGGCTTTATAATAGGCTTTAAATAAACATGTGATGTGCAAGTGAAGTGCACTCTGCACATTGCATTCTGATGTCAAATTCTTGACAATATGGACAAAATAATTTAATCTTTTAAAGATTCAGAGTGGAATCATAGGAGTATTTTCCAAACACGTTCTGTTCTTCAATTATTGTCAAATGGAATAGTACAGAAAATGCAATAAAAATGTGTCCTTCAATTAGCCCACCTCCCAACAACAGGTTTTGAATTGAACATCCTCCGTTTAGACTGTTCTTGTTTTTAATTTGTTTTTGATCAGCTGGATGTCTGACACGTGCGGAAATAGGCTTTTTGGTTTCTCAATTTAAGATTTTCCTATTATAATGTGCCATCATTAGCAAGTTTATATATGTGCTGCTAACACTCAACCCTCACTCCCAGACACCACACTCAAATTGGGCTGTTACTGTTCTGATTACCTGTCTGCCTGTCTGTCTGAAAGAAGTCTTGTTTGAGCCATAAAGCCATCAGCGCCTTGGGACCTCCTCCCGATGTGAAAGGCGTTATACAAATGTAATCTTGTTGTTGTTGTTGTAAAGTCCTTATAATAATAATAAACCTTGCATTTGATATAGCACCTTATCACATCTTCGAGATGTCTCAAAGCGCTTCACAGAATATACTGTAAAGTGAATTGACTGTATATTTTGTGGGCCAAACGTGGCAGCAAATTGCGCGCATCAGTGTCCCACAAACAATCGTGGACTGAGTGACTAAATTATTATTTTTTAAATGATTATTATTCGTGGAAAGGTGATCCACCAGTCGACTAACAATTGGGTTCCTACGTACTGCTAGGTAAACAGAGGCGTGTGTGTGGAGTAAGGGAAATATTTAGATAAAAGTCAACACGATTTTGTTTGGTTCTCAGCAGTATATATATATCTCTGGTTCTGATTCCATCATTCCTAGCTCACTGAGGTTGAATAAGGTAACGCCCATCCTTGGTATTCTGCTGGGTTCTGAATTGTTTCAAATCCCACAAATGGCCAACTTAAAAAAAAACTTATCCTCCAAATTCTCACCCTCAAATACACAGTCAATAAACTTACAATATATTCTGTGAAGCACTTTGAAATGACCCCTTACTCCTGCTGGAACCCTTATCCTTGCCTTTGTAACCTCAGATGGTTACTTTCAGTTCTCTCTTTGCTTGCCTCCATAACCCCACTCTCTGAAAGCTTCAAGTAACCCAGAACTCTGTAGTCCAATTTCTTACCCACATTAGGCTCACACAATCACCACCCCCATCCTTGTCAAGCTCCACTGACTCCCAATAACTCAAAAGATCTATATATGACACCTTTTTAATCTGAGCACCGTGACTATCAACAGCAGATAACCTGTGTTTTTTTTATACAGAAAGCAGAAATAGAATAAAATCCCACTTCAGAGTAACCAGATTTCTCTTAGGCCATCTTACTTTCAGTGTGTAATCAGATTTAACTGTAAGTAAATATTTCAATCTCTTTTGCTGTAGAGTGTTCAATTTGTAGTGGACTAGTTATCAAGATAAAGTACTTATGAAGCTAAACCCAAGGCTCATCTGCCAAACAGTTCCTATCAAGTTCAGATTTGGCCACTGTCTCAAAGCGCTTCACAAGGTATATTGTAAAGTGGAATGATCGTATATTTTGTAGGTGAATGTCGTAGCCAATTTGAGCACAGCAATGTCCCACAAACAGCCATGATGTGAAAGACAAATTTTTATTTGGAGGGATATTGTCCAGGACACTGGGAGAATTCCCTTCTCTTTTCAAACAGGTTTAAGATCTCATTTGAAGAACAGCACCACCAAGAAGTATCAGCATAGACTGTATGAGTTCCAACATGGTGAAACAATTTATGTCACGATATGTACAAATGAAGCAGCGTAGTTAATGTTTTATTGTTCACATTGCAGAGCAACAGCCTAATCACTGGGAGATTATGTGACTTCAGAGCTGGGTGTAGGGGAGATATGCGAAGAGAAAGCATTCTATTTCAGTTCAACTAAGATAGTGATAATGAAAGAAAAAGGCTGTGAATAAATTATTTAAAAAATAATTTTACATGTATATAAAATATTTTTCCAGACACAGCAGAATTTGCACTCTCTTTTAAAAATTTAAACTGGAATATCATAAAGAGCAGTATGATTCATCTTGTCATCATGTTGTTTATTGCACTCTCATATAAAAGTGCACCAAGAATGCAAAAGCTTTTAAAATTTATATAGTATTTTGCAACAGCACGGGATTATTTTACAATATATAGTAAATAGGTAAAAGCAGGAAGAGGAGATGAGGATGTGTAAACTAAAGTTTAAAGCAAATAAAATCTTCTGTCTAATTCATATAACAAAGTGACTGATTTTGAAATAAATGGCTGAATTTAAACAATATTTCTTGAACAATTAACAGACTAGACTTATAAACAGACATTGTATCAAAATAGGAATTGGAATAGGAGGATCTATTGATGATAATTGCAAACGGGATTTAAGATGCTAATTTGCAACCCCATTTGCATTTTATCTAATTTATGTTTGTTAAATACTATTTCCAAAAGCTTGCAGGAAAAAGAGGCTGAAAAGCGGCATATTTCATTTAATTTCATTTGTTAGTATTTCAAGAATAAAACTTCTTAACTATCAGGCTATCTTTATTACTGTCGTACTTACCTTTAACCCACAAAATAAATAGATTCAGATTAAACCACCAAAACTACAATGATTATATTATATTTGGTATCAATTCAACATTGTGCAGTGTAGACAATAAGGCAATGTTGGTAGGAACATTTTTGACATGCATGTTTTAAGAGGACGTTGCAGTTCCTACTGCAGTTTCCTCGCTGAGGCCCTTCCACACTGTTGGACCCATGTATAGGCAATATAATACTAGACTTTAATGCCATTTAAGCTCATTGAAATGCATAGAAAAAGGCAGCATCATTGCTTCTGACTTCAGAATGGCTAACGAATCCTACATATTCAGTACAATACTCTGGTAATTCATTGCTACATTTATTCAGCAACCAAATTCATAAATTTACTCTCATTTTATTAAATAGCACATAATGGGACGCAGTAATTTTCAGATCTTTTGTAACTTGAGGAGCAAAATGCACAACATGTAACTGAGTAAATGAGTACACCTCTGTTCCCTTCATTTCTGTATCAGTCAAATACTTTCAAGGGTGGAGATCGTGGAACGTTGTGTGAAACAAGAGCTATGATTCATCCTTGGTATCTGTCAAATTAGTTTTGTCTAATTGGCCCCAAATTGCCCTTTGTTTCCTGAACAAATCATAATTTGCCTTCATTGATTGATAGCAATTGAACTTAATAATGATCTTAGCATTTCATCTAACACCTTTTATATCGGGAGGATGTCTCAAAGCAAGTAAAGTGACTACGTATTCTATAGAAAAATACAGCAGTCAATTTGCACCCAGCATTGTCCCATGAATAGTCATGAACAATGACCAATAAACAGAATGACCAATTTATCTGGGGGGGATTTGGCCAGGACACTTTTTGTAAAGTGTCATGGGATCTGTGAACATCTACATAAACTTTTCATCTGAGGGATGGCACTTTCAAAAATGTAGAGTACCACCAGGAATGTATTGCACTAGCAGCCTAGATTTTGAGCTTAAAATCCCCATGTGGGACTTGAACCCACAACCTTCTGATTTAGAGGTGAATGCTACCAACTGAGCGAGACTAACATCTAAACAGTAACGGCTCCTTTTCTATGGGTCCTGGCAATGATAGGGTTAAGCCTCCTCCAGTTAGCCCCTTGAGCAAGGGGCCACTAAGTGGTCAGAACATTAATCTGCAAACTAGGATTGCAGCTTCATGAGTGATTCTGTGATAACAGAGGAAGTGTATAAAGGGGTCTTTCACATGTTATTTTTTCCTCTCACTTGCTCCGCACCATCAGATGGCCTGGCAGCCTTTCAGAACTCTATAATATATTCAGTAGTGCCCTGTCAGATAACTTCAGGCTTCCAAGAAAGTTGAACTGATCCAGGGGGATAGCAACCTGCTTCCTTTTGGACAAACAATAACGTACTGTAAATGATTCTGCAGGTGTCTGGGGTCTCAGCTGGCTGCTGTTTATTAAGGTGTGCTGTGTGCGGGGAGGCAGATGAGGTTGCCACTGACAGCTTTGTGTAAATGTGGTGGGGATATGGAAATATTACCCTTAAAGCAGGAACATTGGAGAACTGTGCTTTTGGCATGTGTGACCTGATTCTGCTACTTAAAAATTGCTACTTGTTTCAGTGGGAAAAGACTTCCACACAGCGGAGTCTGTTAGAGACGGTGTAATA